TGGAGTATCCGTGGGTGGGCGAGTGTTGGTGGGATTTACATTAACCATGGATCCTTTCCTCACTTCCATCTTGAGCTGTTCAAATCTAGAACCTAAAAAATTGAATAGTTTTAGCACAATATCAAAAGATTAAGTTCCAGAAGTGTGAAGCTTCATACATACCACTTAGTGACATGTTGTCTCCTTGGCCCGGGGACTGGTACATGCCAAGATCTACAAATGTCGTAAAGGAGGATTTTCCAGTGGCCTTAACCAATCCTCTAGACTGGTACTGTAATGTTCAAGTAAATTAGGGTAAGGTAGTAAAATATTTAAACATTTTTATTGACGTTCCCATGCACGCAAATTGGCACAGCTATAACAGTATCCTAACATAGCTTGTATTTAACTTACATCATAAACTGACTCCTTCCCAGGGGAGGAGTGGGAGGCTGAGTCTGTGGGGGAATGGGAGGGCTGCACCACATCTGGTAAGTTAGTGTAACCATTATGGTTTCGCTTCTCTGGGGTCTTCAAGACACAAAGGGGTAAGAAGTCATACATATGGGATTATATATTAAATTATACTTAGTAGAAATTACTCAGAAGATAATTGGTTGCCCCAATTAAGATTCCATAACACAGTATCAGTGGCATAATAATGAAGACAACTATTGTCATTGAAAGAAGGGAAGTGGACCGTTAAGAGCTTCTTTGTGCGTCGAGATGACTCACCCTCTGCACCAGCATGGTTTGGTCCCCGTAGCCTCCAGCCTGCTCTCCCTCTCCTTCCTCACCTTCATCTTCATGGACCACCATGGTGTTGACTGAATCTGTGTCTGCATCTCTGTGGCTAAAATATAAAAATATAAACATATGAGATCATGCATATTGGAAAAAACTAAATGTGTCCTGTTGGTACCGATCAGTGGGGCTCTCCTCCTCCTCTGGTCCCTCTCCACTCTCGCTCTCCTCACTGCTTTCACTGCTCTCTGAAGATGACGAATAATCATTGGCCTTTACTGGAGGTCTAGGCTGCTCCTCAGCTCTCTCCTTGGCATAGAGGCCATGATCCTGTGTGTACAATTAATTACAGAACATGTTACACAGTTTTAATGGAAAATAACTTAATTACATATACTTGGTGAACCAAACAGAAACAAAAAGTAAACACAAAAATCAGCTTCAAGACATTTCCACCAAGACCGTGTGAAATGATACATCAAAAGAACGTGTTTTTTACTGAATACAAAATTGGGTAACACATGCATTTGATCATGTATATGCCGATATTGTGGACATGACCATGCATCAAGACTGAACACATGATTACACAGCAATGAGCACTACTAACCTCTCCTATAGCCCTCTTGTAACTCTGTATGGTCAAAAAATTAATAAAACAAAAGTGCAAACAGTATATTATAAACTTAAAATGGTCAAAGTTTTTTGTTATATTTATGTATTTATTTAAATACACATTGAGCATCCTGCATGTAGTACTAGTATACAGCATCATACAGTAGTATGTGTGTAACTTACAGCAGGCCGTCCAGGGCGTGAAGAGGTGCGAGATTCTCCTGGCTTATGGCGATTGTCATGGGACAGAATTGGTGAATCCATTTTTGACGAACCTGAAAAAAAGTTAGTGATTAAATCGTTTTGTGTTTGACAGAGAAATAACTGCACAAAGACATACTGAGTATGCGGTGCCTCTCCAGGGAACCAGTTTGGGGCAAATTGGAAATGACGCTCATACTGTCACCTCTCTCCCAGCGGTCATTACGGCTTAGATCTGGGTTGCTGCCAAAAAGAAGTACAATTATTATTTTATTTCCAGTTATCAGTCTATGTAAGTATTCAAATACAAGAGAAATAATGTAAATATCCACAAAAGTAATACCTGGCTCTTATTGGATGCCTGATGCCAGATGTTAAGTTAGTGTTGAGAGCTGTAGCAATTGATGCTGTTCTTTGAGGAATCTGAATTAGGCAAAAGAAATATCTTAAGTTTAACTGCATTGTGCTATGTCATAAATGACATAAAACAGTACTGAGAGTATTGAAAGTCTGAAGAAAATATAAAGATTTTTCACTAGATGAACTTATAATGGCTTTGTTTTTGATGAAAGCACATACTTTGGGAGGCAGCTCCACATCAGGTAAACGAATCCAGGGCCCGCGTTCTTCTCTTATTTGGTGCACCTGTGGGGCAGGGTTCTCAGAGGTGGGGTCTGAGTTTTGTCGCACCAACTCTCTAGAGTGAGTGGGCCGAGGTGTGGGGGTGAGGGAGGGGTCCTGGGTGGGGAAGGCAGACATGTTCTTAGTGGGCTGGTCACAAAGGGACTGGGAGCGAGGCACAGGAGCAGCATAGGGTTTTAGAGGCACCAAATGAGCCATTTGGAACTGCAGCAGCGTCAAGAGGGATCAGCAGCCACATATAAGCAACAGTGTAAAGATGAGTGGGAAAATCAAGTGAAAGTTGAGAATGCCGTTAACAAATGTTGGAGAAAGAAGAAAGAAGAAAAAAAATGTAAGTACAGAAGCCAGAAAGATTTTAGGCATAGCAGTCAAAGGTTCAGCATCTTCTAGCACTGACCTTGCCCTGTCCTCCTTGGGGTTCAACAGGTCTCTGCATGGGAGGGGTCTGAGCGGACTGGGCCCCTGACTGGCTAATGGAGTCAGAGCGAGACTGGATGGCAGTGTCCGAGACAGTGGTGCAGATCTTAGGGGAGCCTTGCCTGTTGAGTTTACTTCGCTCCTCAACCTATTAAAAACAGTCCGTCACGAAATAGTAGCAGCAGTGTATTAACAATGTTCAGCATAAGCCAAGTACCTCGCGTGCCCATGAAGGCTTGTTATTAGGCTCTAGGTTTTTGTTGTAGTGGTAGAGCTGGGGCTTCTTTTCCTGCTGCTGTTGAAGAGATACGAGATAGGCATGTTCCTGCTGCAGCTGCCTCTGCAGACGCTCGGACTGACGCTGCTCCTCTAGCTGCTTACGCTTGTACTCCTGAGATCAAAACGAACAGTCAACAACTAGAAAACTACGAGCATAGGTATGCATTTACATACATCTACAGTACAGTACTACTAATTTATAGTGTATTTTATAGGAGCGATCACAAGTTCACGGTACACTAAATCAAAATTGGGGCAAAACAACATATGGAGAAGGGGGCAGTTACCATAAGTAGTGCCTGCTCTTGAAGTAACTGCTGCTGGAGGATTTCCAACTGCCGCTGCTCCTCTTCTAACTTGTGTCTGATAAATTCCTGCAGAAGCAGAGAGTTGATCAAGTACAAAAACAAACCATGAAAAGTTGCATTATATTTGTACAATACACTTGTTACAAAGCTTTACATTTAAAAAATAGCATTCAGAATGCTATGTTTTTCTCATAGAAGACTTTTGTCTACTCTATTGTTATAAAATTATGATAATGTAATGATATAAATGATATAAATATAAACAAAACATAGCTGATAATAGATGTAAAGTATATGTTTTGTGCAGGAGCCTATTATACAGCTATAAAAAGCTATCGACTTTCAAATGTCAACAAAGAATAGAATGAGAGATAAAGACTTATTCCTTATTTATGATCTACTAGTAGACTTTTACTTTGGGTAGAAGGGAAATGAACAGGAGAGACACAACAAGCTCACCCACAGAAAACTCATCTCTGAATAAATACTCTAATTTAGACCCTTGCTGCTATGGCAACCCACTCATGGAATTTCACAGACAGCATGAGCTGCTGAATGACACGCCCACGCTCTGTTCTGATTGGTTAGTGGCAGTGCTATCGCTATTGTAATTGGTTACCTGCTCTCTCTCTGCCATCCTCCTGTCTTCCTCCCGTCTCATATCGTCAAGTCTTCGATGGGCACCTTTTTCTTGCTGCCTCACCATTTCTCGTTCCTTTCTCTGTTGCTGTGTGTGCAAATGGGTGACAGGAAATAAACATAAGAATACAATTTGAATAACATTTTTGGAACCTCTGCTGTAAGTGTAGAAACATCAGTGATGCAAACTCCTGGAAGTCATATAACCTGCATTTTGAGGCATTTAAAAATGTTTTTAATGTTGAGTAGATTTTCATCTCCATTTTTACTTCAGACTTGGCAAAACTGAATTGCAAAAGATTCAACCCACTGTTAAGATAATACTTGAAACTTTTTGCAAAAAAAACGTTCCAGTATTTTACCTGTTAACTGATTTGCGCATTGGTCTATGTAAGAACAGTGAGCCTCATTCATAAAACTTTCTTACAAACAAATTTGTACTTAAGGCCTTCTTACAAACATTTTTGGCATTCAGAAAACTTTTAAAATTCTACTATTTTAGAATATTATTACTCTGATAATGCAACAAAAAATCAAATTCCTTCATGATTGTAAGTTATGCATTTTCTTAAATTAATTCCTATAAACATATTACTATGTGATCCAATAACATTCATGAAGTGTTTTGTAGAGCATTTGGTCTGTTGGGTCTAACAAACTTTATACAACGAGCCTCAGTCTGTCCTAGCCCCAGTGTTCTCCATATGGGCCTCTGTTAAAGCCCTGCACCTGGTTACCGCACTTATCTCAACATCCCTATCACCCCACTCACCCCCCATGTCCAGAGCGAACTCTTATGCACCCCTATCCCAGTCCCCCTCACTTGCTAACTATTTTGGGCTCGTGCTTGCGGAAAGCCCGATAAATACAATAAGAGCATCTGCTTATTTCAATAAGTTCATGACTTAAATATTCCCTCCTTGAGTGTGTTCATGTGAGTTTGGACATTTGAAATCACAGATGAAGTTGTAAAACAGCACTAGTCTGTAGGCTTGCTCCACCTGACTTCCTTGTTCACTCTCTCCCTCGCGCTTTCACACGTCATAATGCCAAACCCATATTGGGCATATATGGATGTTTAGAGGGCATTTCTAACAAAATACATACACATTTTCTATGTATTTTCTATTTAAATGAAACGCAAATGAGCACGGTGTGTTCGAAGCTGGATGTTGGTGAATTCAGCACAACTGTCACTGCTTAAGAACGCTTTGTAAATATGGGTCACCATCTTCTTAAAGTAGAAGTTACAAACATTTTTTAAGAAAAGATTCATAAATGAAACCCATGTGGTTACCTCTTCAAGGCGACGGCGCTGCTCCTTCTGCTCCTCGATGCGTTTCTGTCTGTCATGCAGTAGCTGGCGTTTATGCTCCTCCGGGTCCCTGCGCTGAGCGGCCAGTTGGGCCTGTTGCCTTTTCAGGGCCTCGGACCGCTCCTTATTCTCCTGCTGCAGGCGCTGGAAGTCTCGCCTCAGCGTCGACTCCCCAGGCACATTCAGTATTGAACTGGAAAAAGAAACTCGAACTTAATATAAATCTAAAATCACTCCTACACAACCAAGCAATTACCTGGATTCTCTATCATCTCCTCGATTTTCATCCTCTTCATCACTTCCACTGTACTCATACTCTGTTTCCTCTTTAAAACACAATAAACATCACTGTTTAAATATCAATACGGTCAACATCCACTTTTAAACCAAGCCTACCCTTTTCCCCCCTTTTCTTCCGTGTCCGGTCAATGTGATCCTTGAGTTGAATTCGGACCTGCCGCTCTGTGGGCTGGTCCCGGATAAACGAGTGCTTCAGAAGCTGCTCCGTGGACGGTCGGCTGGGATACGTCTTCACCAAACAACCCTCAATAAAATCAATGAATTTCTTTGACCTGTGAATGGATCGTTTTGGGAAAAGAGCATATGAAGGTGATATTTTAAACAGAAACTAATTATAGAGTATTATTTTTTGTAAAATAATCAAGAACTTCAGGTCAAGTTCAGTGTCTAGTGTCAGCAGGTATGCACTCCTTACCATTGATTCTCAATATCTAAGGTTAATTTCTTTTCATTGTAGTATGTTTACAGTAAATAATAGTCCATTATAATATAAATAAAGTTGATTATGACTATATTTGTAATTAAAATAAAAACAATTCTGAACAATAAAGATATATATTTATATATATATAAATATATATTATATTTCAATCATTGGATTGGGAAAAGCATAAGGAGCAAAATGGAGTGAAAAATAGAAGACGGCACAGTACGAAAGTTACAAAATCATTAGCACAGACATACTTTTCTTCAATTTCTGAATATAACAAACTTAAAGTGAAGTACTTTGTACAGTACATACAGTGTCTGTAATCACATAAAAGTGTACATCAGATTAGCTATTTTTAAAAGGTCATACAGAACAGTAGAGGTAGGCAGTGTTTTTCTTTGCAAACATTGTGGCCTGGAAAAGTTGTTTTCCATATTTAACCCCAACAGGTAGGATTACACATGCACTTGTTTGGCAGACAATGCAATAACAAATAACTTACCACTTCTTTGACTTAAGTTTAGGAGGGGGATTCCGGGGAATCAAGAAGAGAGCTCTCATTGGGTGCATGTCACACAAAGCTGAAGAAATAAAAGGAAATTGTGGTATGAAATGGGTGCAAAGAATGGCAGTATAAAGCCACAAGCCACTGATAGTGTGACATGAATGTGTGCTCATATAATGGTTTGTAAATAATACAAGCCACTGTTAGAAACATGGTCTCCTTAGACATGTCTACAGCTGCTGTTATCCAATCTCTCCTGGAGCCTGGGGCTTACTGTTGAAATGAATATAAGAACAGGGACTGTGAGTCACTGTTTTCCCAGCGTAGGTAGCTAAACCTGACTGGTTAGCTACAGTTTCACATAAAAAAAAAAAATTCAACAAAGCAATAGTTTTGGATAAGCAGCAACCATGATTTTTATATTATCTCCTTACTCCTACTTAAGTGGTGTGTGCACAGGAAAAGGACTCATGAGGTTCTGGAGATCTGAGTAAATATGAAGTAGAAATTATTCAAATGTTTGGTGGGGATTTCAGTTATACGGGGTTTATGTGACACAGCAATCTCTAATTAAAGATTACTGACAGTTTACAGAGTTTGCCAGAACTCTGACACATTGTGTCAATTAACACTTGAAGTTTGAGCACAAAACCTATTATTTAGTATCAATCACCTTTTTATAGCCTTTCACTTTGTCACAAGTGGTATCCAATAATACTGATGGAGTGTAGATGATGCATAATTTATTATAGCATGTCAACAAAAGGCAAGTAGTCAGGCTACAGCCACAACACAGCTTGGTCCTGAGGACGGTCAAAGCCTAATACACAAAAAACTTAACATTTTAAGTTCAACACATGATTATTTAAAAAATGTTTAATTTGAATACTGGAACAAAGGTTTCTCGTTGGTCTTGTTCACATGCACAGAAAAATCTGATTATAATGTGACTCCTGAACCTTAAAGATAACATAAATGACAAGAAAACTGCAAAATCGGATAAATGAGAGGGATCATGACTGGAAAGAAATCTAATTATTTCGGTGTTTATGTGTCCTTTTAACTCGTGTTAACTCAGTTAATAGTCTTATAACTCCAAAAATAATAATCACATTTTGAGTACAAATGTAACTGCAACTAGTCAAACAGTGAGTGAGTAAAATGCATTACCCACTATCCCAGGCCAGTAATGTATAATATAATTTTAAGTCACTGTCATTCAACAGTAAACATTGAACTGATTACATCTCACTAAGGTTTGACAATGAATTTAGCAGCAGACAGAACAGTCTCCACAGGCCAGCTGCCATCTCACGACTACACCTTGATTACAATGAGTCAGCGCCATCTGACAACATAGACACGCCGGCTACACATGACGGACACATCCATTCATGTGGTTTCTCAAATATATTAAAGAGAAATCTGTAATACAATTTGTTTATAACAAAGGGAAACTACTTACGGGGTGCTCCCTCTGCCATCTCGATGGCTGTGATTCCCAGAGACCAAATGTCACTCTGAAAAATACAAAAGAGGATGACATGAGAATGAGATGTCTCTACCTTATTAATGGGCACATTTACAGAAACAACGTAAAACAGATCACCCTGAAGTCATAGGTGGAGTCTGGGTTCTCATCACATGCGATGACCTCTGGTGCCATCCAGTAAGGAGTTCCAATAAAAGTGTTCCTTCGACCAACTGTCCTGTCTAACTGAGCACTAACTCCAAAATCAACTAAACAGGTCAAACAATGAGGGGAGAGGTTGGGTGGCTGGTAAAACACCAGTAAACGATGCTTCAAATAAACAAAAAACAAACTGTTCTTACCAAGTTTGACCTCTGCGTTCTCTGTCAGCAGCACGTTCTGCCCTTTGATATCCCTATGGATCACTTTATGAGCATGGAGGTGGGACAGGCCCTGTTGAGAAAAGGGAGACTTTAGGTGTTCCATCCTGACCAATAAATATACAACTGGTCAATTAAAGAACAAAACCATGTACCCTTAAGATTTCTCTACAGATGTAAGCAATCCAGTCCTCTTTTAAGGAGCTTCCTTTTGTGTTTTTTACAAGGTCTGTCACTGATCCTGCCCCACAAAACTCCATCACCAACTGAAAGAAAACTTAAGTCAGTACAATGCATTCAATAATCAAAGCATAAATTATAGTATTGAAAATTATGTTTGGCACACCCAAAGTTGATCATCGTGCCCTGGTGGACTTTTCTTGACAAAAGCGCCATAGTAAGTGGCTATGTTTCGGTGGTGGCTGTATTTCTTTAGCATGTTGATTTCTGCTTTGATCTCTTCCTCCTCCTCCTCTGTAACATCCATCACCTTGATGGCTGCCAGCTGCCCAGTCTTCACGTGACGGCCCTGAAGCCAACAAACATTTCAATTTCAGACTTATAATAATAACAGCATTTAAGCATGTGTTAAGCATATTTGAAATGACTTTCTGAAATTTTAATGAGACAAAACTAGGAGACATCCAAAATAATATATGCACAGTCACTGACCTTGTACACCTGGCCATAGGTCCCATTGCCAACAACCTCGACTAGCTCAAAGATTCCTGCCGGATCCTGTGGAAAAACAAAACACAGGATTCATCAGCTACAGTATGCAACTTGCAGAATTGCAGCATAGGATGGATGTTTTGGCTATATGTGTGTGTAAAGAAGCAAACAGAGGTAAAGAGTACGAGAGCATTTATCATATTCAATGGCAAAAACGAGATAAATAAAGGGCAATAGTTAAAATAAAGAGTGTTCAAATGTCTTGTTATTTGAGGCCTGTTGATAGTTTTCTGTTTGTGTTACTGTAAACCATGTAAGGTAAGAACAAATAAAGTTAAACAGAAGTAACAATTTTCATGCCAAACACCAGTTAAATTAAAATAGATGAATAAGACGTAAAGCTTGAAATGGACTACCTAAAGATGTACTCCTTCCCCGGACTATCTTAACTACATACAGAGAAGCCAAGTACTACTGTTTACTCTCAAAGTTAGGAATGCAATGGGATCAGCTCATCTACATAGCCTTTAAATTTGATTATAGACTTTGAGACAACAGACGGCAGAGTGCCCAGGTAAAACTAACTTACACAAGTACACAACTACCCTTCATATATTTTATTGACCAGTAACTCTGTACTTGGGTCAGAGACCATACAGGTGGAGAAATAGTTCTAGTGCATGTATATTGTGAAATGTATAAGCCAAACTGAGCAATAAGCATACTTCTTGAATTGCACTCTTTATAGGGTTGAATGGGATCAGGATTACCTTTATTGACTCAATACTCAATAACGACTATGATACCACAATGAAAATAAAACATGTTCCTTTTTTAGTAATATAATGCCATTTTCATACACAAAATAATTGTACTTTCTTCATGTTGCCATGAAATCTTGTTTTCCGATAAAGTTTAAAATGGGACTAAAACTGTTAATGTGATTTTTTTGCAGTATCGATACTTGACCTAATGTGTATCTATTTCATTTTGTATCAGATACTTTTGACAACACTATCAGAATTTAGGCTTAATTAAGTGTGCAGGGCAATGGACAGCGGGGCCACTAGAGGACAGTGAGACATCATCAGTCTAGTCTTATCATGTTTGGAAGTCACTAACATGACAACAGAGGGCTGGAGGGTGGGCAATATGGATCCGCATTCGCATTATGCGAATCTCTCTTCTTTATTTTTACTGATTATTGCAACATTTCAAACAATGTTCAAATATTGTAAGGCATGAATGGACCATGATATAAATACACTTGTTTGGAAGGAAGACATCTCTTTTCTGTTTTTGCTCTACAAAATCAATTGCAATTGCAGTATTATAATTTTTTCTGATAAACGTTACACCTCTAGCTGCGGGTTCCTGTTGCTCTTTGCTCAGTGGAGAAAATAGCAGACTTCCTCAGACTTCCCTCCCTAGCACACACACAAAATCTGTCTATCTCCTGTAGTCTCTGCAGACTGTGCTGGGAGACACACAAATGACATATTTTGAGCTACAACCCTAAAGGACAGCTGACTCTAGTTTAATGTAATAAAAGAAAAAAAATAGTCAGAAAAATATGCCACAACATCCATAAATCATGTTACTATGATGTATATGTTACTATGTAACTAAGTAACATATATATCATATGCATCATATAAAATTGACCACTGGGCCAGTAAAGCAAATCAGCACACTGCTATTGAGACATCACATTTAAAGACCAGACAAGTTCTTAGACAGACCAGACAAAGAAAATGTAAACACTACGCAAACATGGCTCAAGACTTCATCCTGAATTACAAAATAAAGATCTTTTTCACAAAACACACAATACAGTGATACTAATAATGAGTAGGTTGCTTTGACTTCATTATGCAACTCCCTCCCCAGAGAAACAGGGAAAATGACAAGCTATTCCACTTTCACGCCATTTCAATATGGCTTTAAGAAGATGTGTGGGCGGTGAGACTGCTGCTGTGGTTTAAAATGTACAGCATGCCTTATCCAGCTTTCATCTGCTTCCAATGATGGGTTTCAGCCTTCAACAAGAAGGGGAAATGCATTGTAGTGTAAGATTTTGCAGATCTGTGACTGTGTGTAATGAAAATACATGTAGGATAACATAAATGAGGCTTCAGCACATACTTGGTCGGTGGGAGCTATGACGTGAAAGAGCATGGCAGAGTAGTATAAGGAACAATAATATACAGTGAGAGTGGGTGTTGAGGCAGAGGCGGTGAATTCACCCACGTCCAAAGCAAAAGGTGTGGGTTGAGAAGAATGAAGTCAAGAGGAAGGGTACAGCTGCTTGGAGGACTAGCACCACCAGCTTAACAAAATAAATATGAAACAGTGAATAAATAAACTGATAAAAAACAAGCATGGAAATGTAGCAAGAGATCCCAGGCTTTTGTGTTTTTAATAAATAACCATTTAAAACAGGGAAACAGGGCAAGAATTCCTCCAAATGATAGTCCTCTGGCTGTTAAAGAACAACACAGCCCCAGGCTGAACTCCTAAAGATACAATGCCAAAGTGGGAGGAAGTGGACCATACGTTTCCTGCTCTGATGCCATGGTGGACACAGGAAGCTCCTCCAACATCTGCTATCTATGGTTAACCAGCTGCAAGCTTCAATCAGACTACCTGAGTAAAACAGTTCGTTGCAAATATTACTAATAGAAATTACTGATTGCTTCACAATAACACACATTCGCAGAAAGACTTTGTAATTGTAAAATTTGTACAAGTTACATAATGCTTACCAGTGTGTACCAAAATAAAGTCACAAGACTAGACTTTCTCACAAGTTCCTGAGAAAGCCGATAAATCTGAATAGCAGTGTTGAATTTGTTGCTTGTAGAATTTGCACAATAACCAATTGCTTTGTCCTATTTCAAAAAAGACTTTAGATAAAAGTAATTTTAAAAAAATATTTAGGTCAGTGGGAAAGTATCAGGAGACCAGAACAATCCAGGGTTTAGATTAACACAAATCTTAGTTAAATTCCTCACAACAATAAGAGCTACTCTTGCAAGTGTTTATTTCTGAGGAATTTTCTTAATCTTAAGCAAGTATTGACAATGTTGCAGGTATAAGTAGGTTGGTTGCTATTGTTTCTTACATTACCTGATGTTATCATCAATGGCCTGTGTAAAGAGGAAGTACCAAATACATAATTTTCAATATGATTTTAACAGGTACAGGGTAACTTAGTCCATTCTCTTCTGTGGCTAAACGGTAGGTGTGTGTGGGTGTCCAATACATTTGGATTCAAAGGTTTGAATCTGATACCAGTACTGTCTCTCAGGTGATTCGGGTGTTGCAATAGTACAGCACTGTGCAAATAATAATAATACTCACCCTCAGTGCAGCGAGGTCTATGTCATCCAGGCTTCGTGTGGGGGCGTTTTCAGACATTCTGGCAAAACTTACTGCGTTAGCTAAGTAACCCACTTATTTACAACTAACAGATCAGCGTTTGGCTGCGTTATCGAACGCAAAAAGCCTCGTTTAAAGATTATATTCAAGGAAAAGGCCGTGGGAATATGTCATAGACAAGACCACTGGCGCTTATATTGGCAAACACATTGCAGAATCAAGTGGCACAGGCGCACCCAGCAGGCAGGCTTGTTCACGTAAAGTCTGATCCGACGTTTGAATGTTTTCACCAGCTTATAACTGTAATTTCAAATGCATTTAACTTAAAATAACACTCTATCTGCGTCACAAATAGCCTATTAGCACCAGTCTGGAAGCTGGCAGTTTTCCTAGTCAATGGACCTCTGGGTTTGCTATACACCTTGCAGCGTTCGATCATTTTGACAAGACGTCGCGTCTCCGGTGCTTTGCGACATCACAGGACATTTTCAAAACGAAATGACTACAAAACTACCAAATTCTGCACCTACCACCGTACCATCCCTGTTTATGGTGGCAAAATTATAACTGTGGTTAAGTAGCGCAAAGGCTGCCTTCAAGAACAACGCAATGTCTGTGTGATGGCGCCCGAATCCGTCCGTACCAGAACCAAGTGCCAGCCTTGAGCAATACCCAAACATTCAAACTAGATCCGCCAAAACGGCTTTCACTTGTATCCAACATAAAAAATGGGCCCTAATGGCAGCTGTCAAACTTGAGCACGACTTAAATATTTCGTGATTCCTAAGTAATCAAAAATATTGAGTCAGGTGCGCACAATTTCGCATAACTGGCTAACCAAAATGACTCAGGCTAACAAGCTAAACTGTATCTTCCCGAATCAAGTTTCCTGGTTCATCCATTTTCTATGTTGACAGTCGCACCTAGCACTGTCAACCTTCCGCGGAAAACACAGGCAGGCAGGCAGACAGGAGGTCTCGTCTCGCTTTGGCCAACACGGTAATGCTGTAAACTGGGTCCCTCCGACGTCTCAAGTTCTGCGTTGCGCTCGATCGGTCGCAGCCAAACTGTAACTACTGAAATCTGACGCCAAAAGGCCAAATGCACGATGCAGTAAACTTATTATCTCGCCATGTTTTGCTTTCCGAGGAATACTCCCACCTCCCTCTCCAGCCTTGCTGCTGTAGTCTGGAGGGTGTAATGACGATTAGCTGCACACAACACTCCTCAAGTGTTTTCTCCTTTCGGAAAACTACGGCGCTTCACCAGGGACAAACGAAAGACGCTACATTTAGAACTGCGCCAGTCCAGGTAATAATACACTCTTGATTATCGAATTCAGTGAAAAGGTTAATCAAAGGTTAATCAAAACAAGTTAAATGACTTTCGTATGAACTTTTTTATTATTAAAAAAGTCTTGTAAAACGCATAATTTTCTGGTATTGCTTTGCAGAATACCACATATATAACCATTTAGTACAATTAGTGACTTATATGTGCTTAACAATGCAACAAAACAAAATAATCTATTTCAAATATATTTTAAAATAGCCAAAGTATCACAGTGCAATGTAATTTCTCCAGTCTTCACTCAGACTCATGTAGTCTTATCTTTAAAAGCTAACACCCTGCATAGGCCTGTATTTAAAAGTACTGAGTGGGCTTTTAAGTCACATGTTCTCAGTATTCTCAATCAGAAGGCTCAGTGCCTTCTCAGTAACTTTACTACTAGTGTGCATTTGGAACCATAGGTGAAAAAGTGTTACTTCCAGGTAGATCATCATTGTCAGATAAACATTTGATATTAGTTTATATGAAGCCCTTTGCCTTTTGAAATTTTAAAATAATTATACTTTTAACATATACAAGTTAGCAGACTGCATAACAGGAAACCTATTCTCTAATATAGGTACAGTATACTAGATTATAGATGGCACTTGATGACAAAGCTGCAATTGTTGCATGTGTTTGATTCACACAGCATTCTTCCTTTGGATAGAGGAATGGATTTGTTCTGGATAACCGTTATTGACTGCTATTAAATAATTATTCACAATGTTTTCTCATCATTTCAGTGCTTTGACCTGTTCATATATTTATCACTACTAAAATAAGTAGATTCACACATACAGTTTTCTGTTGACACATTAGCTGCTGGTTTCCGGTACAATTTCCTTATTTAGGCACACTCTCTTTCTGCCCGATCCAGGCTTTTATTTCAGCTACAATCTAGTCATCTCTTTATATCCGTCACCATAACAACCACAAATGTTCTGACAGATTTGCTGGCACTGCAGCGAGAGGTGAAACCTCAGAGGGAGCGAGGGAAAGAGAGAAAGGAAGACAGAGACACAGCCACCCACCAAAAACCCTTGCACCAATAACTGTACACCATGTTCTCTGATCAGGAGAAGCTCAACTTTCTATACAGTCCAGCAGTCCACCTCTGACTCACACGTCCTTGTATGTGTGCCCTCTGTGCTGTCTGTACTCACACTGACATTGCACTGTAGACGTTATGAAACAGGTCTTGTCACAGTGAAGAAACAGGTTAGTAAGTGTTAAATATCGTTCATATAAAAAAAGTAACAGTCCATAAAATTTTTTGTAAGTTAAAGGCTGAATCTAAACATGATTAGTGAAAAAGCACTGTAAATAACTAGTTCATAAGAAGTGGCTTCACTGGTTTTAGAATTAGACAAGCCACATTTTGGTGCAATTATGTCCAGAGTCCCACAGGGGCCATGCCTTCTTTAGTGCCCAGTGGAGGCAGCAGGTTCTCTGCATTCAGATACTTCAGAGGGAAGTGCACCAGAAGTCCTCGAATGGCTTTGAGCTCCTCAGCAGCCTGCTCTGGGTCAGTGTCACACAAACGGCCCACACAAGAGTAATCTTTCAGCTCACGCATGGTGTGGGCTTTGTCACAGGGTAAGCATTTAAAGACCTGCAAAACACATACATATCTTAACAAAAACAACAATAACTCAAACATATATATCATGTTTTTATGTTTACCCTGTCATAAATAATGTCATTTTGCCTAGCAGCTTGATTCCAGACCAAAAAGAAAAAATCGTCACTGATGGGATCGTCAATGTTGATGCTCGGGTCAGATGCAGATCCCACAAGAACACTGGACATTGTAAAAGTGCATTAAAACAACACTGCAAAAATACAGTGCAAAAGACTGGACACACTGGTATATCCTAACCTGAAACACTCTTTGCGCAGAGCCAGTGTAACAGGTCCAGCCTCATACTCCTGTCCATCCATCACAGATGGCACTCTCTCTTCATCTTCCACAAACACAGCCAGTTCGCTATCTCTACTTCCCAGCATGCTGCGGTCATTGATATTGGCTGAGCCTGGAACAAAGTGTATTGTTCTGTGTAGACCCAGTCTGCCTCAGTATTAATTTTCTAATCTAATACCATTTATAGAAGTATTTTTCTTTCAATTTTAATTTACTTTTAAACATTTGTAAGGAATTCATTCTAGGTAACCACAATTTAGATCTCAGACTCAGACTGAAAATGACTAAACAATTTTGCATTTGTATTCAGAAGGATTCATAATTAGTTTATGACTTCTTATGCACCACTCACCAATTATATAGCAGCGGTCATCAGCAATGAGGGCCTTGCTGTGCACATAAATGAACTCCGTCACTAAAGACTCAGAGAGCTGGGCATGGGTCCTCAGGCCACACACTGTGATGTACTCAGTCCACTGGTCTTTAACTATAGACAATAACCAGTGTTATCCGCAACAAAAATACATACAATAGTAAATAGGAGAGAGGACTGTGAAAATGACAAAGGATGAAAAAGAAAAAAGGTTGAGTGGATACCTATGATCAGAGACTTCATTTTAAAAGATGCAAAGAAAAAAAGAGAAACGTGTTAGAAATGAAAGAGAGACTAAGAGGTGGACATATTATGTTATCATCTAGAAAGTAAAATACAACTTACTTTCTCCAAGCCTTGAAAGGATTGAATGATTGCCACGACAAAGTGTCCTAAAAATGTAAAAATCTTAATATCATACATTTGAGTTCAATTAAAAAAAGAGTAAAGTAAAAACATAGCAAAATAATGCAGAAACAAATAATTTTATACCTATAAGTGAAGTGCAGGATGGCATTGATGGCATTTGCCTCTCCAGATGTGACATCTCCCTCAAAGCCAGGAAGCAAAGGAATCACAATATAAACTCTGTACTTTTTCTGCTCCCTGTAACATAATACAAGCACAGATCCCTCCATGTACAATGCCACACAAATAAACATACATGAAGTAGTAATGGCAGCTAAAACACTGTCATACCTGTGTGCACGCAGGATCCTGTTGACTATTGCATCTCCAATGCCATTGTATACGGTCTTTCCATCTGAGCAGCTAATAAAAAACTGGTTCTGTGCACATAATAAAAAGAGGTTGTAAAAATAACAGATAGGAGTCAGTTAAGTTACGCAGTCAGCCCAAATGTAATCATATATAAAAAGTCAACAGTCTAGGCATTGGATCAGCTAATCAGAGACACATGGTCCGTTTACAGCTATAGCATGAAATGGAAAGAGGGGGTAGAGACATTCGGCAATTGGTCATGGCCAGGAAGAAACCCATAATACCCAAGGCTGCATCAATCAATGCCTTAACCTGGTGGTATGTGGATTCCTCTGCGGTTAAAATATTTAGTGAATTCAGAGTCAATTTAATCCACATGTCTGTCCTCTTTTGTGGGAAAGTCCTTGGTTAAAACTAGTGTAGCAATTTTAGACCTGGTTTTGAACTAGTGGTAATCAGTAGGCCAAATATTTGTTTAGGTGGTATTTAGTGTAAAATGTTTAAGAACCAAAGTCGTGAAATGTAAATGTACCTCAATGTAGATGTAGTGCTCACTCTTCTCGATGGTTTGAAGATAAGCATTCAGGATTGAGTTTTCGCAGGTTCCTGTAGACCATCGATCTGCTGACCTCAAAACCTACAACATCACACTTAAACTGTTAGAATTTGCCTCCAAATCACATTCTTATAGCATTATGTAAGAAAGTAGTATATTGAAAAAAGTATACTTTTCTGAAAATTAATTGAGAAAGTGCTAAAAATAATGGTAAATCCTGATTATAATGAAGAGCATGGCCAGGATCAGTTTCAGGCCTCCACCCTGGAATGAATAACTCAACATGCAACAAAAGCTATCGTTATCCTACACCTTGAGTCTGTCATGGATGAGGACAAAAAGTATTATGATACTGTGCAAATGTTTTTCATGCACATGTTGGTATAGATATTTTGTAGAATGAAAGATAATGTTAGCGCAAACTAAAGAAATGATCAAACATATTTTTCTTTGACATCTTGGGATACAAACTTTGCCCCTGGCATGCACAATGCATTGTAAAGAGACATAATGGCTGAACTTTAACAGCCAAATGTTACAAGGGACATGTCTTTCTGTAGGCGACTATTCTGTAGAATGTACGATGTTAAGGCTGGAAACTGGATGTATTTTCAGTTACCTCTGAAAGCTGCAGACACTGCCATATAATCTAACTTCAAGTCTTATTCACAGATTGTTTTGAGTTCAGGTTTTTAAATCAAACAACCTGTTTGTCAATACCTGCACTCTGGCTTTCCTAGCACCCGGTACCGTGAATGGTAGATCCTCAGCAGTGCACTGGGACTTTGGAAGAAGGTAGGGGTAAAAATCATCCTTGTATTTGCTCTTGAAAATCTAAAAAGGAAATAATACTGCAGTTGTTAAGCAGATGACAAAATCACTTAAGAATAAATGTATAAGACACTGACTTTTGTGAAGTTCCACCGTTGGATGAAATGACGTGCAAGATCTCTGGCAGCTTTCCCATGAAGATTTGCTGCAAGATCCCGCCATGGCATGCGAGGAACTTGTGAACGATCAATGTTATCTACACAACAAAGGCTCAGTCAGTCCCATCTTAACAACTAATCTCTGATGTTGAAGCAGATAATGTACCTTCAAATGGTTTATCCAGTTGGACCCAATCTTTTTTGACAAAGTTGCTATAGTCTTTGCCAAGCCACAGTTTAGAGTTGCCAATCAGATCCTCAGAGTTAGTCTCTGCTCCCTGAACTGGTTCAGATGGAGGATCATCAACTTTAGTTTTCTGTGGAAACACTCAGGTTGTTTGTGTTGTTTTGTAATGTGTGAGTATAAATTAATTCTAAAACAACCATACCTCTGAATTCTCTGCTAACCCAAGATCAGTAAGTCTGTAGTGATTGTCATCCCACCGCCCAAAGGCCAAGTCAATACCTCCAACAAAAGCCACTGTTTGGTCAATGGCCACCATTTTCTCATGATGAGCCCAGAGAAACACCACAGAGGAGACATGGTCAGGATGACGCATCACCTGAAAGACATTAAAGAAAAAACATAACAGCAAATAATGAGATGTTTAGGCAATTGTAGAAAAAGTGTAGAAACAAGGGTGAACCTTGATGTTGGGGTGCATGTCCATGAGGACTCTCTTGCTGTGCTCACTATTGATGCCAAGAGCAAGCTCCACCTCTTTGTAAAGCAGAACACATATTTTGACTCCTTGTTCCTATAGTAAGAGACTGAATTAATTTACTTATAATTATTAATAATTAATGTAAATTAGTTTCAAAAGAAATATAAACATCAGAACAAGGAGGAAGGCTGCATACTGCTTTACGTCTGAGAATCTCATCAAGTCGCCAGTAATTATCAGTTGCAGGTCTCTTAAGGTAGATTTCTGGACTGAGCCTAAAAATCCAAAAATTTTTTCCAACCAGTTTGAAAATACTTAATTTGACTATTTATTTTGTAGAATGAATAAACCTTTTAGAAGACTCACCACCAGTCTGTAATGAATATTTCCTCCTTGGCTTGTTCAAGTGCATCAGCTAAGTCTGAAAAGTATCCACTCCCATTCACATACCTGCATTCAACAAAATACAATCACTATGAATAAAACCAAAATTTGCAAATTTGTGTATCGACGCAGACCATTTGGTAAGTGTGTCAGCTCGTGGCGGTGCAAAACTTTCAAAGCGTTGTGGCTTGACGTAGTCACATGAGTCTGCCAGACGGTTGATTTCATGGCTCCACCAATGTGTCTGTCTGTAGCTGCTGCACTTAATTATTAAGCTCCTAAACACACACAGCAACCACACATATTTAAATATTAAATCCTACTGATGAAACAGTCGAGTGTATCCAGTAGGAGACTTACCGAGCAAAGTTCTCAAAACACACTCCATATTTAGTGTCTGTGTAGGCACGACCTACTTTCACTTTAAACTCAGGATCGAAGAGCAGGACAAAGTTTATACTGCCATTGTCCCTGTTCATGTACAACAGGAAAGAGTCCTTTACCACGAGCCAGCGGCGCGACCAGCGGAAACAAATCTGATGGTGGCCAATACAGTTGAGGCCTTGGATGCGATGACCCCCTGACCTCTTCACAATGGGCCCTTCTCTAAAATAAGTGTAAGAAGGTGTTACAAATCAAAAAGTAAAAATAAAAACTAAATGCACTGATGACTGTGTAACTTACAGGCCCTTTGGCCCAAGATCAGTGATGAAGGAAAGGGCACCCACTGATAGAAACTCCAACTTTAAAAGCATTAACAGAAAAATAATTAAGATAACAAATATATTGTTGTTTTATTGATGTGTCTGTGATAGTTCATACCATGCTGTGGTCATTCCTACAAAATCTATTTTCCAACAAACCATTCAGGTATTCTTCTAGGTATTTCTACAACAATAAAAGGAATGTAATACAAGAACAAATATGAAATACTGCATATGACTTGATTATGTATTTTTGTAAATGAATTTCAAAACAATTTATTACCATTTTGCTCGAAGTTCTCCTTGTGCGTTCAGTCCCATGCAGACTAGGCATTTCCTCTGACATGTTTCTAAGCATGTGTCTCTCCTTTGCAAATCTGTTGAAATAATTTGAATATTCAAATTTTTATAGACGGAGTAATGTGACACTTGTATTACTGCAGTGCACCTGTTCAGATGTGGAACAGGATTATTTACATTTTAAATCAAACTTACTTTCCCAAAGGCATAAAGTGAAGCATCATCTTGTGCTTGTACAAGTCTCGATGCAATTCCTGAAAGTGCTTGTACTTGCGCTTTATTGTCCAGTGGAAAGGACCATGGGTGAGGCGCACAGTGTACAGAGTCCCTACATGCACCTTAAGAAAAATAAAATCATAAGATTAGGCTTTTTAGTAACTTCTCTGTCAGTCAAACATTTTATTTACAGGACCAATTCTGCTTCCCATTAACAGAGACTGAAGTATGTAGTAACTATATTTTATATGTAATTTGAGCTTTCACATTTTGCAGTAGAGGCAATTAGTGACATTTATACTCCAGAAATTGAAATAAAAATGATACAGCATTAATTCCAACTACTATAAAATATCATTGGCAAATCTGAAAGCCACAAAATGTGTACCTTTGACCTTGTAGTGTATTTCTCTGTATTGTCCACATGACATGTTATGGGAACACCAGGAATCAAGTAGGGAATGCCTTTTTCTTTGATTTCTGGTAGATGATGAACGACAAGGAAAGGACGGCCATCTGTAAATCAGAGCGGAAAACCTAGATTTTTTTCAGGGTTTTTTCCTACATGATACAATACAAAGTAAATAGAAAATGTTTAAAGATGCATTTACCACTACTGGACATGAGTCCATCAATCTCATCTGGACTGAGCGTGTGACAGTCACGTGAGAAGCGTCTTCTGCTGACCTTTTGGGCAGATGTCTCATGAGCAAGAGGCTCTATTACATCTTCTTCACCAGTCATGGTGGAAGAGATGCTGAGCTAGCAGATTGGCTGAAACATACAGTTGACATTAACAGACATTGAACCCAAATAAGCAACACTAAACTACTACATCAGATACTGTACACTGATCAATTCTTTTCCTTAGGAGATTTTAGGATGCTAAATGCTGAACTTAGCGTTTCAGCAGCTTATCCGTTTTGTAAATTTTTTATATTATTTTGAATATCTCGCTACGAAAGTGAAGTTTTACTTTCGATCTTGAGCTCTATTAGCAGCAAAAAGCTGTACCTCCATTTATTAAATCACATTTTTCCTGAAAATATAAATCCCAGCAATTATAAACAAAGTATTTCCTTTACTTTCAAAGTCCTTAGACGTTAAGTGTAAGTTATTATGGCATGTTAAATTAGGCAAGGCAAGGCATGTTTTTTTTATACAGCATAATTCCTACACATTCAGAATATTAAAGTATTTCCTTGTTCTCTTATGTCTCATATGTAAGAGTAAAGTATATTGGTATAAATGCATGGTGAAGCCTGCAGCACTGGAGGAGCCTTATCAAGGGTGCGTGGGTGAAAGTCCCTGAATGGCTGCCGGTTTCCCAGGCAACACGAGTGCAAATAGGAAGTGTGTACTGTGTGAATATGACTGAGTGAGAGAAAGGAAGCATTTGGTGACGTTAAAGAGGAGTACAAGATCAATGTGGGTAATTTGAGGTTAGCTAAGGCAAAAGTCTCTACTACAGGCCACTACATGCTGGATCAAGCCTAAAAAGGAAACTGATCCTACACACATGTGCCGACTTACTGACAACAGTAGAATTGCATCATCACTTAACAGTGGAGGATTAATAGGAGCACTGTCACTTTTATTGGTTATGAATAATATACATGTGGTTAGCTAGATGCAAAATAAACACTGACTGTCGCTGGACAAGAATTGATGAGGTACTGAGATACTAGAATATTATTCTAGGTGAAAATTAATAGATGGGCAATATGGATAATCAAAACATCTACTGAACTGCTGTTTTTGAAATACAACTTTTTCGTAGTCCTATTGTCATGTTTGTTGATTAGAGATGAACAGGCCCAAGAGGGTGTGTTCAGGTCAGACCAGCACATGGGTCTAGTTACACAGAACAATCACCTTCAGCCACACCTCATGCATGCAATTACTCCAATGGCAGAATTTCTACTAATAACAACTCCAATGACAAGAAGCACACACTAACATAGTGGGGTATTCTGGTTTGAATAACTTTTTACCAACCCTGACTCTTGTAAAATATCAACAGAGCAACCATAAGCATGCATAATAATTACTGCATTATGTAATGTAATGTCATGTACATATACAGCACAGCACTTAAAGCTCATAACCATGTGAGCCAAGAGACCAAACAACGTATAACATTGAATTCTACTATGATTGACTAACTCTAAGGTTTACAGTCTATCGCTGAATATTTAAGTACGTCAGTCTAATCCCTTGTCATTGTCACTTGACACTGAAGTCACACGATCTGCCTATAGCGGAAAAACGGGATCAAACTCTATTAAAAAAAAAAAAAACGCCATGAGTTGCTCAACTTGCTCAATAAGTCAGCTAGTAGCCTACTTCCCAATTCCGGCGCTAAATACCAATTAAGATAATCTAACTATCCATTTACGTTTAAAAGATAAACTACCACTGGCTATGTGGCTAAAATACAGGGTTTTGGTATCCACCCATTCCTGTTTCCTTCGGCGACGCATTCCATAAAATAATGCTCCCATTTTCAGAGCTATACAACAAATTCGGCAGCCACTCCAAGTGCTCAGCTTATTTACCGATGCTCTGTGCTTTGTTGTGCATGTGTGGAACAGTTTCTAAGTTTCTATTTGTTTGCACAGACTTACACACAGACACAGTCGTGCTAGCTGTATAAGCATCAATATCTCCAGTCTATCAACCGTGGCTACTTACCTCAACCTATGGTGAATAAGGAAACGCTGACTTCTCCCGCGCAGAAATTTGTCCAAAGAGCTGGTCCGTGCTAAGAGATTCACGAGAAAAAGGCGTCTTTCATCGTGTTTTCAAAAGAAACTACTTTGTATTCTTCTAACTAGCTGATGCACATTGCTCTAAGTCCCGCCTCTCACCGGCCCCTGAGCGAGCTAAAAGGGAAAGCTTCACATAAAATAACGTGAGAAGATGTACAGCTGAGTGAGGAGCACATTGAAAAAGATTACTTTTATGTTAGTAGAGGTGAATTGTAATATTAGGACTATGAAGCTAGCATGTCACAGCTACACAATCATGAAAAGACAAGTCCTGACTAGACTTTGGGAAGGACAGGATACGGCTTCACATGCTGCAGGAATGTTTAGGGGCAGGGCGGGCACATGAGGCAGCCGTGGTACGTATGTGAGAGGTTTTTATGAGACTCTTGATCATGTTCAAAAAGATTATCTACAACTCATGTTTTCTTTTCCATATGTTTATTTCAGGGCGAATGCGTAAAGTAAGGTGAATTTAAGGTGATGGTATGGTGAATTAATTAAACAGTCAGGCTATTTATGGTGTATCCACCACGAACACAACCTCTGACTGTCTGTGTACCACAGTATCAAATAAAATAGTTAGCCAAGTATTTTCCGCCCGTTTTTTTTAATTCCCTTGCCCAGTTTTTATTTTAAGATACTTTGCGGTCTTTCACCACAAGGGGGCATTCGATCACAAACAATAATACTATACATCAGCTCGTGCTCTGCTAAAACATAGGCAACCAATAGTAAATAAGAATGTTTAATACAATTCACATGGTGAAATAACAAAGCACAATGCACAAAATAAAATGTATATTTACAAAATATGGCACCATAAAAACTAGACATTATTTCTCCACACTACCTGTGCCTAAGAAGACTTTCTAATAAATAAGTAGATATGAAAGTAAGGCTTTGATTCTGAGTGGGGTGGCTCACATGCACAAATCCTCAGCATAAGACAGTACATGCAGTGGAAGTTATAGTATAATCCTTGTATGGCTCTTTTGTGCTGTAAGAAATGCCTCAATGTTTCCTTTGCTCTCTCATCAGAATTTATGCACTGGGCAAGAGTTCATCGTCAACCTGGTCTAGCCTCATGCATGTTCATAGCGCAGTGCTGCCTGTCTCTTAGCCATTACCAAAGGCTAATAATAACACAAAGTAGATGTTAACATCAAAATGACCTCACATTGTATTTGTGTCAGAACGCAGGACCTCTTGGCTTTACAATCAGCATGAGCTAATTGCCCATTATAAAGATATTTTCAAAAGTACATCATTTTTTTTCTAACTTGGAGAATATTTTTTGCTCTCTCCAGGAAATGGAAACTCTGGGGCTTGATTGAAGTGTCCGTTGAGGAAGATCGCGACTGTGCCAATGATGAAGAGGAGAATAGCAGCCCAGAAACAAACCTTGTCGATCATTTTTCCAATGAGCACCCAACTCTCAATCTCCTGTTGTTGCAAAGAAGAGAGGTATTGCCATGTGTGTCATTCTAATTCATTAATAACAGGAAAGGGGTCATTGAATCTACAACTCACAGATCCAATTGTGTTCTGTTGTCTTGTGCTTTCGGCGATAAAGTTACAAGCGTCAACACACTGCTTGATCTCAGGTGCTGCTTGGGCCAAGCTCTTGTATAGATTAGCTGTGCTGCTCACGTCCATGTTGTCCACTGTAAAAAGCCAATTAGTTCGTTAAAATACAGTGTAATTGATTGCTACTTATACATAAAAATAATGGACCATCATAACTAAGTTGCATTGTTAAAAGTGCACTGTGCACCTTTTCTGGTGGAGGATACAAGGGGATGCGTTAAATGCACCTACATTTATTGACTCCACCAGACTAAAAGCTACAGC